CCCCCCCCCCAAATTGTACCATATCTTCCCATGTTTCATCTCCTTCTACTTATCCCATATTCACTTTGACACTTTCTACCCATCTAATTGCCTATTCGTGTTTGGATTGCCTAAATTCCATTAGAATTGGGCGATGAAGAGTATTCAAATTTGATTGGTAAGGATCGTGTCCATTATCAGAATATTAAAGCATTTCATGCTTTAACTGTGTTAAAAATATTATTTTCACTCAGTTATAATTAAGTTCTTTACTTTGGCTACTAAAACCAAATTGACAATGCAGGTGGTAAAATTAAATTTAAAAGCCTTTCGACTGAATCCCATTTCATTAATTGTGCATTGGGAAATTACATTAAATATTCTTTGAAATCACTTCTATTTGTTCACGAAAAGTTTACAATGGTTTGCAATCAAATTTAAATGTTTTTTACAATGTTTGGTTAGTACTTTTAATCAGATCAATTCATGTTTCATTATGATATTTCCTAGATATTCAAATATCTTCATATAACTTCATTTCCAAAAAGGAATGTATCATAAATTTATCCCTTCATTCTCTTGTAAAATATATTCGACTGGTAATTTTTGGCAAAAATAGTAACTCGACCTGAATATGCGTAGGATAAAAGTTATGAAATGTATTACCAACCCACATAAGAGGCTAAATATCACATGGAAACGGCCTTTGAAAAAAATTATTCACATAGAAATTTCGAGTTTTTATCGTCAATTAATATTATGCAACTTATTATTAAAATTTCAGAAAAGACTACTGATTATCTATATGTGAAATATTAATAGACGGCAAATTTTAAATAAAGTAACTTCATCCATTGTGATCGATAGTGAAGGTGTCGATTATTTAAATATTGAAATATTTTGGGTTTCAACTCTGTTACAAGTGTTGCTTCACTCTGATATAATAAAACAGTTTTAATCGGAAATTTTGCAAAGAAATATGAGGAATAAACTCGTAGTTTACTAGTGAACGGGTTTGTGAAAATGAACAGCTGAATGAAACTTCATAAACAGTTTTCCTTAACTGAAGGTTGCATTCTGAACTCTCCACCCCCCCCCCCCCTACTTCAACAATATAAAAAGCAATTGAAGCAAAATGCATTGCATCAAAGTGAGAGTCAGACCAATTAGACCAAATCGTTGATTGATTATACTACCCAATAGTCTTCTATTTTCTTTCGCTAAGTGATTGGTAATAAAGTAGTGGCTGAGCGTATTAAATAGGTTCAATTCAGCTCAATTGTTGAGTGAACTTTTACTGTACCTACAAGTCCGCTTAATTTTAATATTAATTTGCGAAGCGTAAATCACCACAAAGACTGGCCTAAAGGAAGCTCGCGCTCTAACACATCTGGACGCCACAAGTTGCGCATCGAGCAAGTGTGTGGGCGTGTGTGAAGGTCCTCAATGCTAATCAATTGCCAAAGTTAGCGCAGCATGGCGTTAGTTTTACTCGATGACTAAGCGGTATTTGCAATAAATCTCTACACACAGTAGCCTCTTCGTTCTCCCTTCTTTGGACTTAACGTAGCTATTTTTAGGGTCAAAAATTAATAGCAATGTACTCTGATAGTGGTTAGTTGCAGTTTCTTGCAGGCAATTGGATATCAAAGGTGAATGAAATGGATTAGTGCAAGAAATATTAATAAGCTCTTACCACTAACAACCTTCATGTTCACTGTGATCAGCTACCAACACCAAAGTCTGGAATAGTTGAGCTTAGCCATTATCAAGAAAGAAATTACCACTTATCCGATCTAAACGGTAGATAATCAATTTTCCAAAGGTAAGAGGCCAGTGAGGGGGCGTTTATTAATTCAAATTTGTCGGCGTCGATATGAATCGCCAATTACCAATTTCATTTTGAGGATTAGCAAAGATGCCTCCCTTCTGATTGAGATCAGGCCCTAGTTTCCCCGTAGATTACTGAAAACTATCGATCCCTCGGTTATTTTCCGATATAACTAACACAAATCTAACCATCTCTTAGTGGTCTTCCTTATTTTTTATAGAGCACACTTATACATCTTAAAAAATATGCGTTAATTAATCAGCCATTCATTGAAGTATTTTAGTCCCAACCGGTACCAAGGCGGCGGTGGCGTGTGCAGCGTCCTCTCAACCAACCAAAATTCGGTAGTCCCATTACCACTAGCGTACTTTTAGCTGTGATTTAATGACTAAGCTTTGTGGCAGTGATTCAAAACTAAAATAAAAACGATTGACAGTTGAACTGGTTTCGGGACCAATTCCTTACTTGGGAATTTTGGCATGGCAAGTGTTGGGATTTAGTCAAAGCTTATTTGCGTAGCTACAAATGCAGTGCGCCTTATTAATAGACCTCCTTTGAATAATTTATTCATAACAAATGGCAGGCGTTATGATAGGTATCATTAGCAGTTTAGTTGACTTCGTGCTTCATAGAAAAGAAGAGGAACACCAAAGTGGCAAAAAGTCGAGAGGGGGGACAGAATAATGATTCACAGACGTAAAAGAGACAGACAGACACAAAGGTAGAAAAAAGGTGAGTACTGTGAAATTATTCGAATATGAAATGCGATGGGGTCTTGGTAGTTTGAAGTGAGAAGTCAACTGCCTGTTAATAGACTTTTTTGCCGTATGAGCATACGTTGCCCAGAGTGCACCACGTGGAGGTAAGTCTATCGCACACCCCTCATAATAATAATAAACTTGCAATTTCCAGCTTCGTTAGTATTCTTCAAGTATTGTCGAACACGATGCCATTGATATTAAGAAGATAGTCGTCCAAAACTAGAAAAGCTGTGACCTGGGGAATATGGACGGGACATCTCGATTGCATGAAGCTAATGCATCACTTGTGGTGCCAAATTAGTAGCGCACAATATACATGGAATATTAACGCCAATAATATACCACGACCAACATCATACGTGGAGCAATTAAAAAACTGAGGGACAACTCTGCATTTTTCGGCCACGAAGTTGCCGTAATGTGTTTATTGTCCCGTGTGATTCAAGCCACTATTGTGTCATGACAAGACGGCATCAATTCGCCCGTTTTCCTATAACTGCCCCCTTTTGCACCGAAAAGTGCTCTGTACTCAAATCCTCATACAAACTGCCTTTTCATCACACAAGCCGCACACACACGCACAAGCATACAGGGACCCTCTCATCTACCTCTGTAACCAGCTCGAATCCTCATTCTGGTTGGTTCAATGCATCCTGGCCAATACAGCTCTTTGTATTCCACGTTTTTAATTGCCAGTTGCAGATCGTACAATTCATTTAAAGTAGTAACAAGATAAGGGCCGAAGAGTAAGCTTTAAAGTCCAATATGTTAAGAGGTGGCTCCGTAATTAATTGGTGAAATTAAAGGTTCGGTGGATATGAAATCTGTAGGCAGTGGCTTTTCTTTATTCCATAAAGGAGTTTGGAATGAGCTGACTCCTAAGTTCATGAGATATTACGGGTACATGGCGTTTCTGGAGCTTTAGGCGGTGGGTTTAATTAACGCCACCTCAATTTATTGCAGCGAAGTGAAATTAACAATGATTTGTGCCTTAGCAGAACACAACAAATTAGAAGATAATGATTGGCATCTTAAAATGGTTAGTAGAGTGAGAGAGAGCACATGATGACAGTCCTTTGGATATTGAATGGTTCTTGCTGAACTATCGCGTTCTTCTAACTTCTCACGACCTTTACCAAACAACAAGATGGAGGCAATTTAATACAATGATGGACAGAATTTACTGAAAAGATGATCGAAGACTTGGAAAGAAAGCGTTTGGGAGAAGGGGGGGGGGTGGATCGTGCGTGGACGGCACGTGTTGACCCCACCAATTGACCTGGATTTGTGCAGGTTAAGGCCAAGGTCTCGAACCCATTGCTGATGAGTCTCATTGGTCGCCCTATATTATAAAGGTCAGTCTATTACCATTTAGTCAGCTTTTATACAGCATGGTAGCTAATCCCTTCCAACGAGCAACTGATTACTCGCCCATACAACTTGACCGCCACGCCACTGGCGCAGTTGAATCCAACATGAGGCTTCTTTGGTGTTATATTAGAACAAAATTTGAGTAAAACGAACGCCTCAACAGTCCAAAACAATTTTGGCAATAAAGTAGTAACAAAGCAGTGACATATGTGTATTCCACTTCAAATAAGCCTCCTAATTTTGCAAAGACCAAATAACCCTGTCAGTGTATAAATATACACAGAACCCTCATCACTTCAAGACACAAACAGCCATAAAAGTCCCACTAAACATAATCGCACATCACATCAAAGGAGCTTATTTATTTTCTAAAGGGAGAAAACGCAGGGGCAAAAATTCGGAGAAAAGCGCATCGAATTGTAAGACCAGCAAACACCCTTTAGGGAGCAAGACGTTTGGGGTCACGAGGGAACATAGACACTTTGCGAATGTTGTCCAGACCCAAGAAGAGCATAGTCACACGCTCAAGACCTACATGAGGCGAAAAAACATTAATTAGCCAAAATTCCAGAGATTCGTTAAGGAAGAAGGGGAGGGACGATGCTTACCAATGCCTCCGCCAGCGTGAGGTGGACAACCATAGCGGAAGGAATCGATATACGATTGAATTGTCTTAACATCTAGGTTAAAGAAAACAACGTTTAAGAATTATCAAAGCACGCCTATACATATAATTTTTGTAAAATAAATTACCAAGTCCGTGATGCTTGGCGCGTTCAGTTAGAAATTGAGGATCGTGAATTCGTTGAGCACCAGACATTATTTCTTCGCCTCGCATGAAGAAATCGTACGAATTCGAAACCTTCTATAAACAGTAGAAAAGAGAAACTATAACTTCATTAAAGAAACCAAATATTAAGACAATTTAATAAGTGGCTTCAAAACGCGCCTCATTGTGAGGGTCAGGCATGGTGTAGAATGGACGAATAGCTAGAGGGAACTTGTCCAAAATGTAGAAATCAGTTCCATACTTCTCCTTAACCAATTTCCCCAAGAACTTCTCCGCGGGTGTGCTCAAATCATCGTATTCTCCAACATCCCATCCAGCTTCTTTAAGCATCTTGATACCCTCAGAAAACTCCAATCTCAATCTTAAAGAAGGGAAAACAAGTTAAAGGAGAAATAATGCGAAAACATTTTCCCTAATTTAGACTAGACTCACGTTGGTTCGAGAAATTGGAATGGTTCTGCGTTGTATTGCTTACAAACGGTCCCAATCTCAGATGCATATCTTAATTAAAGAGAGAAATCACAATAGATTTGCCCCCACAAACAAATAGATACTTACTTTGTTTGCAGACCCTTGAAAATGCTAACAAACATTTCAGCAATAAGATCCACCACTTCGTGGTAGTGTATTTTGAAAGCAACTTCCAAGTCCAAACCAACGAACTCGCACAAGTGACGATGGGTATTTGAATCTTCAGCGCGGAAAACAGCACCAATTGTATACACCTAGATTAAAACCGAAGATTCATTAGACCCAGAATAGAAGTTAGGAAATGAGATAAGGCTTCAGGCTTACACGGCCAAAATCGGAAGCAATGGCCATCTGCTTGTAAAGCTGAGGTGATTGTGCCAAACAAGCTTCATTGTTGAAGTAATTAAACTTGAAAACATTAGCACCACCTTCAGATGAGCCACCAAGAATTTTGGGCGTCTGGATCATGGTGAATCCATGTTCATCCAAATAGTCCATAAAGAGACGAACGACACCATGCTCAAGTCGATAGATGGCCTGATTTGTAGGCGTTCGAAGATCGATAAAACGATTGTCCAGACGCGTATCCTGATTAACACGACTGAAGCTCTGAAACGTTCACAAATTTGTTAAATCGAACCCCTTAAATAGATATTTAAGTTGAGTAGTAAAGATACCTCGTCAGTTTCAGCAGTATCTGGACGCATAGCATCTTCAATTTGGAAAGGTAGGACAGGCGATGAAGCGCTGATTACGAAGATCTTCGTAATGTGTAACTCAACGTTGTCTGGATTGCATCCTTCAATAGCAACCGGAGAGGATTTAACAAGACCATAAACATCAACAATTGACTCCTTAGTAATGCTGGAGAAAAAAAAGATAAAGATAAAATGAATCAAAGTGAAGATCAAGAAATCCGAAAGAAATGGCCTTACTTTCCAACAAACTTTACCATAGCCTTCGAAACCTTTTCACCCGTAGACAAAACACATTGAAGGAGATACTGACGGTCTCTAAGAACCAAGAAGCAAAGTTTGCCCTTGGCGCGACTGCGGTGAAGACGACCACGGATACAAACTGCAGTGTCAGCATACTTTTTATCAAAGAGGTCGCTGATGTCCGTGTATAATGGACCTTCCTTTGTTTGAGACTGATGTAAAGGAGTTACTCCGTAGAACTCCTTTGAAACGTCATCTTCTTCCACTTTCATTTCCTCAACTTGTTGAGCGACTTTCTCGACATCACCAGAGGCCGTTTCTTGATTCTTGGCCCGTCGGTTCTTACCAGCGTTCTTCTTGCCAGCCATTAGGACAATATGAGTGCAAAAAACGTTCTACATTGAAAGCGGCGCTCAAGATCCAACCAATGAAATTGTGGCCGGTTAAAGGCTGATATTAAATATTAATATTTTTTAAATAGGGCATGTTTTCATTTATTGCGTTCATTGAAAATACGTTTATATATTTTTTTTAAACTTATTTATTTCTAATAATGGAGCTAAGTAAGCTGTCATAAAAAATCTACTGACCAATTTCAAGGTTAGCTTCGGATAGTGAGGGCTGCAAAAATACCGAAGTGCCAACTGTACGCATTTCATATGCTTGGTTAAGTATAAACAGAAGAGTTATTTATTGCAAATAATATTGATCATTTGATTGCGAATAATGAGTACTATTTTTTACCCATTTTTGTTGATACTAAACGATTGAAATTTCCATTTCAGTATTTATGTTTTTATGATTTATCCATTTCAACACTAGGATTATATTGGCTAACGCCTGATATTTAAGTTGTTGCAGTTAGGCTACGTTTGTATATCGAATGAGAAGTAATGCTATAAATATTAAAGGATTTTGATTTTTTTGGGTCGAGTTTAGCCATTTCCTTTAACGCCATTTAAACCGTTATGTTTATATCCATAATCGAGGTACATATTAATCATTGCACATTTTGGACAACTACACTGCCATTAGGATACAAAGTGCCGCATAGTCCTTTTTTATATATTTAAAATTATCATTTTTTTCATTAATTAAGTATAGTGCCACATCATATACATATATGTAGAAAGTAGATTGAACTTAAAGAGTGTTGTCTTAACAAAAAAATCATTCTTCTTTGTTTATGACTATATTTGGAGATTAATTAAAGTATAATAGTTTTCTAAAGTTGGCATGCTACCACATCCATTCACCTAACTCTGGTTTGTTCAAAGCATTCATACAGGAAACATATACTCCTCATTTGAATGTGCGTCTCGAATTCAAAATCAACTTTGTCTCCGCGATGACGAATAGTAGCTATGCCTTTGACAACATCTTTCCTAACCAGTTTGTGGTATTCAATTCGGTACACCTGCTCGAGAATGAACTGTTTGTCAGCACATTGCTTGAGCACTTCTTCCTGGGCTAAGTCTATTAGCCACAGGTTTGATTTATTGTCATTTAATAGGTCTTTCTACGGAACGAGATTAACTTGCTAGGCAAAATAAAATGTCTATAATCAAACTAAACCGCGTTGACTTTTCATCATAATATTAGCCAAACACTTGAAGATGGCAAAATGTTTCGTCATCTTTCTTTCCACGCTGTGTACTCTATGTATCCTCATCAATGCATTTCGATTGTATACTTAGTTTAGGATTTCAATTACCATATTGAAAGTGTAGCCTCAACTTAAATATTGAATTGTCTCATTCATTACGAAAAAATTATTTTTCTTTATTCCATTCTTAAATTAATTGAAATTAGCCTTGGGTTCAATTTCAATATGTATTTCAGTAGTAAGGCTACTATAGTGATAAATAATATAGCAGGGCCTTGTATGATGCTAAACGATAATATCCATAAGGTAAATCAATCACATTCTTTGCTTTCAATGGTAATTTGTTAAAACATTTTCATATAATAAGAAGATTGATAGATGGGTTTTATTCTATCTGGTCTCTTGGCAAGAAGACCTGTTCTCATGCCATAAAAGGGGGTGTCGGAAATGTGAAAACATATAGGTGTGATGAATTGGCAGGTCAAGTCTATCAATAGTGACACTCAGTTGCTGAAAATAGACCATTCTCTCCTGACCCATTTACAAACAGACAAATGGCGTGTGAAATAAAAAATGTTTCTTGCCTTCTGCATATTTTAGAGTATTGTGCTTTTTCATGTCATGAGAATTAATTTTGTTCAATAAAAAACCGTTTTTTTCACAAAGGTCTTGATTAAAATTGTGGAAAGGTTACCTGCATATCTCTTTACGAATTTATGTTCAATGTCAACAAAGAGGGTTAAATTAAGTTTTTCTCATGTAAAGCGTAAATTGTTATTGAAGTATTTTGTATATTTTATATTTGCATAAAACGAGATACCCAACCACTACATATGTTTGATTTAATCGGTGCTTGGTGTCATATTTATTTATCAGTAATTAATGTGACAAAAGATTCCAGCTGACATTCGTCAACACCCTACCTCACCCTCAAAAAGGGTTGTTCATTTGGAGGTGGAATTCTTGAGAGAAGCAATTGTGTACACCACTTAATTAATTCAATACTTATTGGGCATCACGTGCCTTTCACCACTTCTGATTATTGTAGAAATTCTGATAGATAATAACTATCAAAACGCCTGCCATTTGAAATGGATAAATAAATTCATAAAATATGAACTCAAGTATCCACACCAACATTTGTACCCTAAAACATCTCTTCTACCGCCTATTTATGAATCAAGTGTTTCCATGGTGCTCTTGATTTTGTTGTTCGTTTTTTGTGCTTTCGACATTTTCTAGTGGCAAAATTAAATATTTCCCTAAATGTTGGTTTATTGCCCCACTGTATAATAATTTAGTCACAGAGAAATGACAAATAAATACAAATGGCCTACTTCGATCATTTTTTCACTTACTGCTTGTTATAGGCAGCAAATATTCAATGCTCTACTGTTCCATGTAGGACTGCCACAATTCTCGAATAAGTTGAAGAGTGGAAAATCAAACAAGAAAGGGATTTGCAGTAAGCCAAATACGAATTAAATAAAAAATCATCTTCTCGTTATGGAGTTCAAGCATATACCCGAGTTTTATACATATCTGCTAAAGCCAAATAAATTGAATGTCTCCACTAAAGTGGATGTGTGACCACAATCATTCACCGAACTCTGGTTTGATCAAAGTATTCCACAGAGTCACAGGGTCGATGCAGAGTTATTTATTGTCATTGATTTGGTCTTTCATTGGGTTCGGATTAACTTGCTCTGCAAAATAAAAAGTGTTATCATTAAACCAAACCATATCGTCTCTTAAGTCATAATATTTGCCAAACAATTGAAGTCGGCTTGGGACAAATAAGTCCAGTGTCCTTAATTTTATAAATTAAATATTCTATGTCAATCTTCATGTGATCGTAATTGTCGCGTTTAAGCTAGACTCACAAACATCTTTGAAACTAGGGTACAGATTACATAAACCTTGAATTCTGGGACTTTTATGGCACTAAAACTCAGTCTAACGCAGAGGATACATTTTACCAATTATTGAAAAGTAACTAATACAAATAAACCAGAAATGTCTAAAATTGCGAAAAATAAGAGATAATAGACCTATTTAATCAATAGCTTTTTATATTAT